CTTCTCAGACCATAATGCGCTGAAATTAGAAGTAAATCACACACAAAAACAGAAAACTAAATCAAACACCTGGAAATTAAACAGTGTGCTATTGAACAACAAGTGGCTTAGAAAGGAAATCAAAGAGGAAATCAAAAGATTCCTAGAAACAAATGAAAATGAGAACACGAGTTACCAAAACTTATGGGACACAGCAAAAGCTGTGTTAAGAGGAAAGTTTATAGCTCTACAAGCATTCCTCAGGAAGGAGGAGCAAGCACACATAAGTAACCTAACCTCGCAGCTTAAGAGCTTGGAGAAGGACCAAAAAAAGGAGCACAACCTGAACAGAAGAAAGGAAATAATAAAACTCAGAGCAGAGATTAACGAGATGGAAACCCAAATAACAATTCGAAAGATGAAACCAAGAGCTGGTTCTTCGAGAAAATTAACAAGATTGATAAGCCTCTAGCAAAACTCACAAAGAAAGGGAGAGAGAAAACCCTAATAAACCGAATCAGAAATGAAAAGGGGGTCATTACCACAGAAACTACAGAAATTCAAAGGATCCTCAGGGAGTACTTTGAGAAGCTTTATGCCACGGAACATCAAAACCTCGAGGAAATGGATAAATTCCTAGACTCCTACAGACTCCCAAGGCTGAACCAAGAAGACCTGGAATACCTGAACAGACCTATCACCATCAAGGAAATTGAAATGGTAATAAAAAGTCTCCCCAAGCACAAAATCCTGGCCCGGATGGATTCAGTAGTGAATTCTTCCAAATCTTTAAAGAGGACTTACTCCCAATCCTTTTTTAACTTTTCCACGAAATTGAAATATCAAAAATACTTCCGAACAGTTTCTACGAAGTAAATATCACACTGATACCAAAAGCAGGCAGAGATACCACAAAGAAAGAGAATTACAGACCGATATCCCTGATGAACACAGATTCAAAGATCCTCAACAAACTATTAGCAAATAGAATCCAACTACTCATCAAAAAGACCATGACCAAGTAGGATTCATCCCAGGGATGCAAGGATGGTTTAACATTCGGAAATCAATCAACATAATCCATCATATCAACAAAAGAAAAGATAAAAAGCATATGATCATATCAATAGATGCAGAGAAAGCATTTGACAAGATCCAGCACCCCTTTATGATGAAAACCCTAGCCAAAATGGGTATAGAGGGGACTTTCCTCAACATAGTTAAAGTCATCTACCACAAGCCTACAGCAAGCATCATCCTCAATGGGGAAAAACTGAGAGCCTTCCCTCTAAGATGAGGAACGAGACAAGGATGCTCACTCTCTCCACTGCTGTTCAATATAGTACTGGAAGTACTTGCAATAGCGATTAGGCAAGAAAAAGATATTAAGGGCATTCAGGTAGGAAAGGAAGAAATCATGCTCTCACTATTCGCAGATGATATGATACTATACTTAGAGAACCCAATAATCTCCACCAAAAAACTCCTAGAAACAATAGACTCGTATAGTAAAGTTGCAGGCTAGAAAATCAATCCCCAAAAGTCCATGGCTTTCCTATACGCAAACAGTGAGAGAGAAGAAAGTTACAAGAAAAAAACAATCCCGTTCACAATTGTGCCCCAGAAAATCAAGTACCTAGGAATCACCTTAACTAAGGAAGTAAAGGACCTGTACAAAGAAAACTACAAAACGCTACTTCAGGAAATAAAAGAGGGCATGAGGAAATGGAAAGATATCCCCTGCTCATGGGTTGGGAGACTTAACATTGTCAAAATGGCAACACTACCGAAAGCATTGTATAAATTCAATGCAATCCCTATAAGGGTACCCATGACATTCTTCAAAGAAATGGAGCAAACACTTTTGAAATTTATATGGAACAATAAGCCCCCACGAATAGCTAAAGCAATTCTTGGGAAAAAGAAAATGGGAGGAATCAACCTCCCTAACTTCAAACTGTACTACAAAGCAGTTAAAACAGCATGGTACTGGAACAAAGGCAGAACTGCAGACCAATGGAACAGGGTTGAATACACTGACATCTCCCCTCAATCATATGATTATCTAATCTTTGATAAAGGTGCAAGTAATGTGAAGTGGAGTAAGGAAAGTCTCTTTACAAATTGTGTTGGCATCACTGGACGGCTACATGCAAAAAAGTGGGTTCAGAACTCTGCCTAACACCATGTACAAAAGTAAGATCAAAATGGATTAAAGACCTCAACATCAGACCAGAAACCATAAGGTACATTGAAGACAAAGTTGGCAAAACCCTCCATGACATTGAAGCTAATGGTATCTTCAAAGATGCCACGCCACTGGCCGAGCAAGTGAAAACAGATAGATAAATGGGACTATCTTAAAATAAGAAGCTTCTGCACCTCAAAAGAAACAGTGACCAAAATACAAAGACAGTCGACAGAATGGGAAAGGATATTCGCCGAACACGCATCTGACAAGGCGTTGATATCAAGGATATACAAAATACTGGATGAACTCCACAAGAAGAAAACATCCAACCCCATACAAAAATGGGGCAATGAAATGAACAGAAACTTTCTCAAAGAAGAAATCCAAATGGCAAAAAAGCACATGAGAAAATGCTCTACATCATTAATTATCAGGGAGATGCAGATCAAAACCACAATGAGATACCATCTCACACCTCAGAGACTGGCTCACATCTACAAGAACAAAAGCAACTGATGCTGGCGCTGTTGGTGGGAATGCGGACTAGTTCAGCCCTTTTGGAAAACAGTATGGACGTTTCTCAAAAAATTAGAAACTGAGCTCCCATTTGACCCAGCAATACCACTCCTGGGAATATATCCCAGAGAGGCAAAAATGTGTAGTCGAAGTGACATCTGCACTTGTTTGTTCATTGCAGCACTCTTTACAATAGCCAGAAACTGGAAGAAACCTGAATGCCCAAGAACAGATGACTGGTTAAAGAAACTTTGGTACATCTACACAATGGAGTACTATGTAGCTGTTAGAAAAGATGAAGTCATGAAATTTATATACAAGTGGTACAACATGGAAAGTATCATGCTAAGCGAAATGATTCAGAAAGAGAGGGATAGACATAGAAAGATTGCATTCATCTGGGGAATATAAAGAAACAAAATATGAGGTTAATACCCAAGAATAGCTGAGATCAACACCAGGAGGATTACTCCATAGCTTAGAGGCCAGCCGGGCATTCTAGGGGAAAGGGCAGCTCAGATCGAGAAGGGAGCATCAAATAAAGGGTGTTTGGAGGATCCTCCCAGGAGGGGAGTTGCATGTTGAAAGTAGACTATGGACTGAACATGCTTGCCACTCAAAGTCTCTTTTGCAGACCACAATACCCAAAAGGAGAGAGAGAACACAAGGGATTGCCCTGCCACTGAGGCAAGGTGAGATGGGAGGGATGGGGGTGGGAGGGATATTATCCCATGGTGGTGGAAAATGGGCACTGGTGGAGGGATGGGTATTTGATCATTGTATAATCGAAACCCAAGCACAAAAATTGTAAATCTACAACTGTACCTCATGGTGTTTCACTAAAAACAATAAAAAAAAAAATAGATCTAGGAAACTTTGACTTCCAGGATAAAGTCCAAAAGACAAAGTGTCTTGTCCATCTAAGTCCTCTTTCTTTCCCAGACATTTTGCCTTGATAGCACAGGGCAGTCAAAGACTAATTCTTACTGTTTCTTCATGTTTTTTTCCATGAATGCAATGATTCAACCTCCTCTTCTTCAATTTTTTTGGAACATTTTGTGTCAAGCACTGGGGACTGAGTTGTAACCAAAAGAGAAAAATTATTGTCTTTTTGGAGTTCAGTCTAATGGATGAAATGGCAATAAAGCCTTGATACTTATGGACTTATAGAAAATACTATGAAAGAGGCCCAAAGCTATTGTAGTTTAGATCGTCAAAGATCAGCAAGATTCTGAAGAGAGTGGAGGCTCAGATAAATTAGAATCTTGAGTGGCTTTGCTAATATTGACTAGAAGAACGGTTAAAGCAGAAGAAATACTCTATGGCTCCAGCATAATCAACTATACAGACATGCAATAACTGTCCTGATTTTAAAGTCGCCCTTGACCAATGTTTTATCCCATGCAAGGTTATGGATTTCCAAAAGGCCTCCATGATTTCTTATTAGCATCAAGTCTAGAATCCATATAAAAGAAATTCCTAACTAAATCTGGCAGGAAGAATATTGAGACTGCTCTTGCAAGCCTATAAATTGCTTGCCGCCAATAACTGACTTGGGCTAATGAATGTAAACTAAGCAACAGTTTGTAAAAAAGCACGTGCACGTTTCCGTCTTGTGTAATAAGACAAGGCGAGCCTCCAGAAAGATGAGAGCGCAGGGCGTGCACGAAAAAAAAAAAAAGCCAGCCTCTGAGGTCGACCAAAAACGCGAAAAAAAAAATGCCATTCTGTGCGTTATCTATACGTAGGAGGAAGGAAATTCTGGACAGCAAACAACTGCGTAACAAGAACCGTGGGTGCTGGATCAACAGTGACCCACCCAGGCTGAGCAGGAGCCGGGCACTGCGGAGGATGGAGATGGAGATGGAGGTGAAGGTGGGGGTGGGGGTGGGGGGTATGGGCAGGTGACAGGACCGGGACGTGTCGGGGAGGGGTGGGGGTCCTGCAAGCAGATGCGATTTCCCGACGCACACGTTTAGAGCATGCTGCGGAGGGGCAATGCGCGTCCTGAGCTTCCTCCGGCAGCAGGAGGCAGGTCCGGAGAGGCGGGCCCGCGCCCCGTCAGCAGCACCCCGCGCCCGATCCGACAGAGAAGAGGATCGCCCGGCGTCCCGCTGCGCTGGAGCCGCGAGGAGGGTCCCACGGGGCGCTCGGGGTCGCGCGTCCCCCCGAGTCCGCCCTGGCGGGGCACAGGAGGAAAAAAAAAGAGCACGGCGGCCTGGCTGGCAGAAGCCTGAAAGCGACGAGCCAACGCAAGAGAGTTCGCGGCCCGGGAACGGGCAGGGGGAGTGAGCGGGGCGCAGCCGTTTCCCACCTGCGTCAAGCTCCAGCTGGTAGCAGGGCAGCGGCTCGAGGGAAAGCTTGTAACCCTCGAAGCGAGGATCCAGCAGCGGCCTCTTCACGCGCAGGGAGCAATTAGCGGCCACTTCCATGGCGTGCCGGGGTCCGACTAGCGGGAGACCGAACCAAGCTCCGGTTGAAAGCTCCGCGCCTCTCTCCGAGCACCCAGGCGGGGCAGCGGCGTGGTTCCCCTCCCAGAAGACACCGCGGCGCAGAGGGCCTTCTGGGAAATGTAGTGCCCGGAGCAAGCCGCCCGTGGCCTGCCGGGACCTGTAGTTCTCCGGGCGGCTCCGCACGCGCTGTCCCAGCGGCCCGCGGACTCTCTTTCCCAGAAGGCTGCGCGGCCAGGAGGCGGCCCGCGCCGCTGAACTGCTCCCCTGATAGGCAGGGCGGCGAGAGCCCGCCCCGGAAATGCGTGTGCTAGCGCTCTGTGTGCTTAGGTGCCCGAGCTACTGAGGGTCTAAGTCCGGGCAGCCGAAGAGTGTGGTAGGTAACGGTGGCCAGCGCAAGGGTCATTTCGTCGCTGGGAAGGGACGGCCCTCGCCCGCGGTGATGGTGGTGAGCTATGCCCGTGGTCCTCGGGGCCGGGACCCGGGCCCGGCCCAGGCTCCTTTCGCTGTCCTGTCTCGCGTTAGCTTCCCCGACCCGCGCTCGCGGGCCTGCGGGGCTCGGGCTGGGCGTGCTGGCGGAGCTGGCCCGGGGCCAGGCGGCGCTTTGTTTCCTGGCTCCTCCCCTCTCTGCCGCCGGCTCCGCCCGAGCCTCTGCCCGGAAGAATGTCGGCACCGGGAGGGATTCCCCTAGCGCCCGGGTTTGGGGGTTTGATGATGATGATGATTTTTTAGTTTTGATTTTTTTTAATTTTTAATTTTTTATTGTTATTATTTTTTTTTTACCTGTGAGAAAACTGAGGCCTCTCAGGAAATGCAGTGACTTGTCCAAGGTCACTGTGCGGATCGCAGCAGGGGGGTCCGGGGCGACGGCGAGCCCCGAAGGTGCTAGGAATGCGACTGATGCGACCTGAGAATGATTTTACTTGGGGGCGAGTGGGGAGGAGGGTTAGTCCTTAGAGCTACGAAAGCGCACGGGTCCCCCTTCCCTTCACAGCCCCTTTCTTTTCCCCGTTCGCCGCCAAGATGGTTTTTTTTTTTTTTTTTTTTTGTATTATTTCCACCCAACTCCAAAAACTCTCGCAGTCCCGAGTCTTAGTGTCGGCGAGACGCGGCAGAAGTCAATGAACGTGGGAAGGTTGACGGGTGGCAAATGCCCCAACCTTAACTTCGCTCTCAGTCTGCACCATCTTGGCTTGTTCTTGTCAGTTTTTCAAATTCTTTTGGCTTTTGTTTATGGCTGAAAATTGGGAAGTTTTTAAGTGAGGACTGAGTTTGAGATTTGCTTCCCCCGTCCTTGCATCCCCGGCCAGCTTTGCTCCTTGAGTTGAATGGATGCCTTCTTAACCGCCAGCCTGGCGGCTGGAACTGTTGCTCCATCTCACCGAAAAGGCAAGGAAGCATCTGGAACCTTCGCCGGGAATTTCATGCTTCGCCACCAGTGCTAAACCTGTTATTGGTGGTTTCCGTTTTGTGGCTTCTCCCCTGCCAACACCCCCCCCCCCCCCCCACACACACACACACACACACAGTCCCCTCAAATGTTCTGTGCGGATAAGTGCATAAATGTTTAGCTGCCGCCTATAATTGGGGCAGCTGTAGTGTTGGGGCTCCTGGGGTCGAAGTACCTGAATTCAAAGGATTGAGTTCTTTGTCAGTGCCTCAGTTTTCTCATCTGTAAAATGCAAATTAGGTCAACAAGGCTTAAATGAATTGTGCTAGGAATTAGAGGAGATTCAGGCTTATACATGTTTCATAACTTAGGGTAATTCTTATGGTGAAGCAGACATTCGTTTAACACAGGGGATGGGGGATAAATTTGGAAAGTGAATTTACTGGTTAGCACTTCTTGGGGTGCAGTAAATAATTATAAAGGTAGTGTGGCATTGTTGAAGTGTATTCTCCCTTAACTGATAGAATGTTCACTGTGTCCGGATGCTTGCCTAAGAATTTAGAAGAAACTGCGTTGTAAGCGTCCTATATCTGAAAATAATTTGTTGATGTTCAGGTTAGCAAGATGAACAAAGATGCGCAGATGAGAGCAGCGATTAACCAAAAGTTGATAGAAACCGGAGAAAGAGAACGGTAAGTAATGGATCACAGTTAACATATTTAAATTGTGGTTATATTGTGAATAGTCAAGAGACAGAATTCATATCAATAAAAAGAATTATCAAAAGCTTCTGTTCTTCACATCACCAAGACATAGTGCAGTATTGGCAGGAGTTGGGGGGAGGGGGCAGTGAAGAAAGGTGAACAAGGAATGTCTTTCCAAAATTGTACCCTAGTGAAGAAAAATGTCTGTCTTGAATATCTTAATCGAACACTTGATACTACCCAAGTTTTAACAAGGAGACAACATGATGCAACCACCTTCAGTTACTAAATTCTCTTAACCTTGGAGCAGTTTGTACTGTTTCTACTTTCTTCCTCCTTCTCTTCATCTTCAGTTCACCGTGGCTCCTATTTCCGATGGTAATTCCCATCACCTTTCTAGGAATCTGTTTAATCACTGGTAACCTAGCTCTTTCATAGCGCTTAGTCACCTTGTATCATAACCATTTGCTTTGCTAATTGGTAGTTGCTAGCATAATGTAAGTTTCTTGGCAGCAAAAATACAGTTGTATACCCAGCACATAATCAGCCAGGTAGTTATTTAAAGATGTTTAAAGAATGAACAGGTTTGGAAGTATGGAGAGGAGAATAAGGAAGCAGGAATGACTTTTGGTGATATGATATGTAAGAGATATGTAAAGAACAGAAGATATATTTTGGTTATTCCTGGGGGTAAAGTGAGCAATCAAGGACTCCTGACTATCCAAAAAAAATAAATAAATAATAAAGCTAGGAGAGAAGGATTATCTGTACAGGGGCAAGCAGTCTAGATAGATGGAAAAGAATATGCATATTTAAATTGTCAGATGATATATACTAAGTAACTGAAAAATACAAGTAACTGAAATCTACAATGCTAGATTATAGAGTGTGAAAGCTGTATAACTGCAACAGAAAACAGGGTTGTGGGTTTGTAGAAATCAAAACTTTTTAATGATAGTGATAGACTCTGACACAGGAACTAGCTTAACAAAAAGAAAGTATGCATTAACTAAAACTGTGTAGAGCTCCTGGGGTCAGAAAGGTCGTGCAGCAGGCAGGGGTGCCTGCCTTGAGCATGGCCAGTCCAGCTTCTATCCCTGTCACCTCATAATGCTTCTCCCTGACCCCAGCATTGCCCGGACTGATCCCTGAGCACCTCCTCCTGTGGCCCCAAACCGAAAAACATTTTTCTATGCTCCGGGTTTTTTCAGGCACTAAAAAATTGTCAAGATCGCCTTTCCTTTCTCAGCTCTACTTTCTGTATTCTCAAAGGACTCTGCCCACAAAGTGACAAGAGATTTTGTAGTTCAAAATTTACATCTCTCTAGCCTCAGGCCTCCTTCCTCCTGAAATTACTTCTTGGCAGTGAATCTAGTTTGATTACCATCTTATCCAATATGCCAGTTATGATCAGCGTTGCTTAGATAAGAGGGGGGCTTTTGGGGTTTGTTTGGGTTTTTTTGGGGGGGGGGAGGGGGGTTGGTCATCCCGAGCAGTGCTTAGGGCCTATTCCCAGTTCTGCGTTCAATGTTCAATGATCATTCCCGCCAGGCTCGGGACCATATGGGATGCTGGGGATTGAACCCAGTTTGGTTACATGCAAAGCAAATGCACTGTACTGTATCTCTGGCCTTTCCTAGATATCATTTCTGTCATGAGAATGCCACCCAGATTTCTAATACTGAATGATAGAGATGTTGCCTGTAAAAGAAAGAAAAAAATAGTATGTTTGCAATATATATGTGGCTGATTTTATCCCAGAGTAATGAAATTATTAGAAGAGTTTAAGAAATGAAATAGCACTGTAGCACTGTCCTCCCATTGTTCATTGATTTGCTCGAGCCGGCACCAGTAACATCTCCATTGTGAGACTTGTTGTTCCTTGTTGTTACTGTTTTTGGCATATCAAATACACCACGGGAGCTTGCCAGGCTCACCAAGGGGGGCACAGGAATCAAACCCAGGTCAGCCACATGCAAAGTAAATGCCATGCCTGCTGTGCTGTCGCTCTGGCCCAAGAAAGGGAATATCTAGATCAAATTTACATTTACAAACTTACATGATATTCTGCATGTGAAGGATAGACTCAAGGATAGATTACAGGAATCCATATTAGAATAATTTACCAAATTTAATTAAAACAGCAGAAAGGAGAACTCAGTTGTTTGGCTGCTTTTTTCGTTTTGTTGTTGTTGTTGTTATTGTTGTTGTTCTTTGGCCACAACTGGCAGTGTTCAGGAGTTACTTTTTTTTGGTACAGGGTCACACCCGGTGATGCAAAGAGATTACTTCTGACTCATACACTCAGGAATTACTCCTGGCGGTGCTCAGGGGACCATATGGGATTCTGGGAATCAAACCCGGGTTGGCCACGTGCAAGGCAAAAGCCGAACCAGGTGATAGCACAGTAGGTTGAGCGTTTGCCTTGCACGTGGCCGACCCAGGTTCAATTCCTCCATCCCTCTCGGAGAGCCCAGCAAGCTACCGAGAGTTTTCCACCTGCACGGCAGAGCCTGGCAAGCTCCCCATTGCGTATTCAATATGCCAAAAACAGTAACAACAAGTCTTTTTTTTTTTTTTCACTCTTTTTTTTTTTCATTTTTTTTTTCCCTTTATTTTATTTTATTTTTTTTAAAGTTGTAGATTTACAATTTTTTGTGCTTTGGTTTCAATTATACAATGATCAGATACCCATCCCTCCACCAGTGCCCATTTTCCACCACCATGGATAATATCCCTCCCACCCCCATCCCCCCATCCCCCCTGTCTCTGTGGCAGGGCAATCCCCTGTGTTCTCTCTCTCCTTTTGGGTGTTGTGGTCTGCAAAAGAGGCATTGAGTGGCAAACATGTTCAGTCCATAGTCTACTTTCGACATGCATCTCCCCTCCTGGGAGGATCCTCCAAACATCCTTTATTTGGTGCTCCCTTCTCTATCTGAACAGCCCTTTCCTCTAGGATACCCGGCTGGCCTCTAAGTTATGGAGTAATCCTCCTGGT